CTACGCCCTTGCAGCAAAATATAAGACGTGATACCGACTTGAATTACAACTGCCAGCTCAGGACGAACAAAAACCTTCAGCATGTGGGTTTTCTTCAGGCGAAATGAAAAAAAAAAAAAAAAGTGAAATTATTCATATTAATAAGAGCTGCGAGGTTAAGACATCTGCTGCAGTTTCCCCAGTGTGTTCGCTAGTCTCATCGGTGCTTCATGAGGGCCTGGTACTCCCTCTGGTGGGAGAACAGCTGCAGGAACACCTTGTACTTCCTGTCATAGAAACTGTGAAAGGAAAACCAAAAGCTGTGTTACGAAGTTAATATTGCATCTTGTTCGTTGATCAATTGAGATTTTTTTAAACCAAAATTAAACTGAATTCAGTTTTATTAAAGCCAACAAAAAAAAAAAAACAAAGAAAGCACTGAGAATCTATTTTAAATGAGCATATACTGTAGGTTACTAATAAATAATTACATAGAAATTTGGCATCACATATGCAGAGCCTCACAAAACCTTCTGCAACTTTTATTGGGATTTTATTTGATAGACCCACATAAATTGTCTTGCTAATTATGAAGAGGCAAGAAAATTGACACAGTTTACTGAATGTTTTTGAAACAATAATACTTGCTACAGGGGAGAGGAGAGGGCAAGAGGGTGAAAAAAATCCCATTTTTTCTTTGGAAAATAGTTTAATAATTTCAAATTGGGTCGAGAACATTTATGAATATATATTTTAAACTATCGCCTCATTAACTGGATTGGACTTTGACCCATTCCTAGATTACTAATAGTGTTTTGCATGTAGGTCACATGATTACTGCGTACCCTACATGGCTTGATACAAAATCCAAGCTGCTGCTCCTTGCCTGGCCATAACTTGGCAGCTTTACGTTTGTAGATTATTGATGAAATTTCACAGCGAGATGTTTCTTAGCTTGGGATGCTGTTTTCGACCCTAAGGGTAGTTGAATCTTCTCCACAACGTCACCCCCTGATATTCATCTGTTAAATTACCACAGTCAAAGCCCAGACCCAAATCCAGTTGAGATTGGTTCACAAAGACTTGAGACGTAGAGCTGTAAAAGAGTATCTACAGGTATCAGGAAATCAATTTAAGACTTGGCAGACCTTCTTAATGCCACACTGAATGACATTTAAGACAGAAAAAATACTTTAAAAAATAAAAGTAGTGCCAAACTTCACGTGTTTTTAGAATGCACGTAGCCTCGCATGGGGTTGGCAACAGAAGTGAGACAGTGAAGAAAACAAATGTAGTCCAATCAACCGGCGATAAACGTGCACTTCAGATAAGACGCATAAAAGTTAGCTAGCTAGTATGTTAACGTCACGTCAGCCTCAATTGCCTCGAGCCAGAATACAAGATGTCTGTGCGTGACTCAAATTTCTGCTAGACTGAAGTTTTTTTTCCTTAGGAGAAAAAAACACAAGTACACACACAATATTAAATAATCGAACCAAAACAAAAATTAACATATTTAGGGCCAAATTAAATTTTTAGATACAGTTAGACATTTTAAGGCCTTCATGTTAGATGCATGAATATAATGTTGAAGGATGTGCTGTATTTGTAAAAACAGTTAAATGTATAATTTATAAATCCACTTTAGTTTATCTGCTACTTTGTATTTGACTACCGTGTAAATTTCCAAGAAAATACAGGATGTTGATGTTGTGTACTGGTTGGAAAGTCGTTTTCCTCACCTCTTGAGCTCCTGGTTTGGCTGAATGACTCGCCCAACTTTAGCCATTTTCTCCATGGCCTCCTGAGACACAAAATTGCAAAGACAAACAGCACTCCATAAACGGGCATACAGAGACACGCGTTTTAATTTCACGTCAGCCCGTGACCTACTTGTCTCACAAACACAATCCGACTGCTGTGGTTCTGGTTTGCGTCGGCTCATGATTAATGCACGGAGGGCTCTCACTCCTACCTAAACCTACAAAATCCAGACAGCGGAGCGCTTGCAGCTGAGGGGAGGGATCAGACACAACAACTGTCCGATGTATTTTTGGCTGAAAACAAGCTAACAGCTGCCGCCTGGTCCAAATAATAACGCCTTATTTTTAGTCTATATGGCTCCGAGGTTGATGTGAAACTTTGTCCCGAAAAGAGATTTAAAGTCTTACATCTTAATCCATATTTTGTGCACCAAACAGGTTCTGCTCCGTGGACACAGCCAGCAGAATTCAGGGAGTTTTATGCGCTGGTATCCCTCCAGCAGGTGGTGACACTGAGTTACATTTCAGCAATACCTTTTAACGAGTTACTCTGCATGCTTTCCAGGTCCTTTTCTAAGCTCTTTAATGTGAATACCCAGCATGCACCTCTTTGTGTCACATTAAAACCTACTGAGAAAAGAGGTCTGTATGAATTATTGACACCTAGGATAAAAATCCATGCAACAAAGATACACTTTTTATGCTTTAATTCTTGTNCAGTATAACCCAGTTATGAAAACCAAGGAACTTGAAGAATTGTGTGGGAAAAAAATCTAAATAAATCCATCAACATTAGGAAATGAAAGTCATTTTCACACTAAATTATTATTATTAAACTAAATGTAAAACCTCAGTTTTGCTAATTAGCATGAAATTTGAAATCTAGCTCATCCAGTCACATACTTTTTGTTTTACTAAACAGAGTATCGATTTTAAAATATTTGCTGAAATCCAGGTCAGTCAAACTAAGAAATGTCTTGTAATGCAACTTTTATGGGCAAACAAAGTCTAATGACGTGGTTTTAAAAAATGATATGAATTAGAATAACAAATGAAAGCACTGGACTTCACCAGGTTCTAAAGTGATTAAAAGCTAACCTCAAGCATATAAAATGCCAAAACGCTGCTGTTAGTCAGTAAGCATGAATGAATCCAAAATGGAGACGTGGTGTAGCAGATGTGTGTGTGACTGTACCTGTATGGTCCCATAGTCCTGGGATGCACAGGCGCCCAGAACCGCTGCGCCCACTAAAACGGCCTCGGACTGATCCGGCAACACCACAGGAAGTGCTGAGAAGAGAAACGACGCTTAGCAACGGTTCTTTCCTGTCTCCAGACTTTCTTGGTGTTTGAACTTGGATTATTCTCTGTAGTTTATTTGCTTAGATCTTGTCATTTTAGTTTATCCCTTTGTGTTTTAATTCATCCATCTGTGTTTTGGGTGGTTTTCTCTTTGGGTTTATTCGTTTATTTAACAGGTACAAGTAGGCCTGTCACAAACAATAAATCAATTAATCGCATGATAAATTAAAATAAACAATCATTTTGATTTGCTTGATTTATTGTTTGTCTCATTTTTCTCTGTCTTTTTACCAAAAAACTGAATGATAAAAGTCTTCAGTCTAGTGTTTTGGTCTCAACTATCCTTTTTTTGAAAGCTGACTTTGTTCACTGGGACTTCATTATTTATTTTATTTGTTGTTTCTGTTGTTTTCTTTATTTAATTTGGATCTTCTACATCTCTTCCAGTTCCAGTGTTTAAATGTTAATTAGAATTGAAAGTTTATTGATCTTTGAGAACATGTGCTTGGATTTTTATGCCACTATTACTATTATTTTACTTGAAAATGTTCTCAAAACAATATTCGGTTCTGGGACAATTTTATCGTCCACCAGAACGGGTCATCATGACAGGTACAACATGCAAAAACACTAACAAAAGATGCTTTTCACTGGATTTAGATTAAGCGAGTTTCCATCTGTAATAATATAGAGGAAAAGTCTTACATTCAATGTCCACACATACCCTGTTTGCAATCACTATAAATAGTCACATAAAATGACCACAACAAAAACATTACTAAACGCCACAACTACAGTTTGAATTCTCTGCTGTGTTTATGTCTCAGCTTCCCACCAGCCTGTCAGCTTACTCCTCATCCCAGCTGTTCCCCATCTCTTGCTTCCTCTCAGCTGTTTTCTATTCTCTCCTGATGAGTCCTCTTTGTTCCTTGGTCAGCTAATGCTGCGTTCCAGTAGCGAGCTGAACTGGGAAATTCCAACTTCCCTGTTAGAAAAATCTACTGGACCGTCTTCTGAAATAAATGTTCCCAATGGGAAAGAAGGAGCAACTCCGACCACCACAAGTTACAACTTGTAAGGCCAAATTTCAATATGGCCGCTCTTCTTACGATGGTGAAAACATGTTTATTTCAGGAGACGCACATGTAGCGCCTTCAACTCTATAAAATAAAAATGGTGTTTGTTTATGGAAAGTAAAACTTAAAAATGTTTATGGGTGTCTCCATATTGAAATTCCGTCTTCTTAAAGCTGTTACTTGGAGTCTGACGTCAAACCCAGTTCGGTGTTCCCACTGCCGAGGTAACAGGAACGCAGCGTAACTCCCACACGTCACCCTGAACGCACCACGTACCTGTAGCGCTAGCCTGGATCTGTACAAACAGGAGGTTTTTGCTCAAACCGCCACACAGGAAGAGGGTTCTGATGTCATATCCTGCTTCTTTCATGGATTCCAGAATGTGACGCGTCCCGAGCTGAAAGTCAGACCCAAGAAGAAGAAGAGGGTCGCCTTGTAAGCGTTTCGGTTTTGCACACAGCCGACACCGGAAGAGTGATAAACACGTGGCTTACAGCGAGAGCCTGCAGCGTAGCTAAATACAGCCGGGCCAAGTCATCCACGGTTTGGGAAAGAGGCAGACCAATCACCTGCAACACAGTCAGGCGAACAGGAAGAGGAAGGGCTGAATCACCAACTGAACCCAGATCTGAGAAAAAGCTTGCTACTTCATAAAATATTTCACTTGTTGAGTTTTACGACACATTCAAAGAAAATATATCAACCCTAAAGTTCAGAGGAGAAAAAGGAGCTTCATGTGCCGAGAGTGTGGCGCCGAGGCCTCACCATTCCCTTCAGAGTGGGGTCAGCGAGCGGCGACCTGTTGCCGTGGAAATCCGGCCACACGTGAATGCTGGATCCCAGCAGGTCCACATCAGGTGGTGAGCCGGCCATCTGAGCCAAGTGGCTGTTCAGATACGGGTAAACGTCGGCGCCTGTGAAGGGAACTCTGAAATGAGAAATAAAAAATACTCTTAAGACGCCTGCTGGACTTTAACGTCAGCCCAATATTTGGTTTATTGGGGAAAGAAAGTGTTCATGATCAGGCCTGTCTCGATAAATTGTGCTGGACAATAAACTGTACAAGAAGTTATTGCAATAAACGATAACATTGTCGTTTTGAGGCCATTTTGAAGTAATACGATGGGAATAAAGTTTAATTTCTAGCAAATATTTAACACTGGAACTGGAAGACATTTTAAATACGCAAAACAAAAAACAAAACAACCAGAACAGAAAATAAAATGGAAACTGAAGCCTTTGTAAACAAAATTGTCCTTCAATAAAAGGGCCTAGTTGAGACCAATGCAGCAGACTTTAGTAGAAAGAGAAAGAGACACGAGAAAAACAACCATGCAATGGGAATGATCAAACTTTAATTCATCATCACTGTGTTTGGTGTGATATGTTTGGTTTTCTCTGAACACGTTGGGGCTGAAACAATTAATCGCAATTAATCAATTACTGAATTAATCATCAAATAATTTAGTGATCGATTAATTGCTAACTTGATCATACACAAAAAAAGGAGAAAATTTGCTTTGAGAACAACACATTCAGAACAGCTATTAAACCAAATTTGTCCAAAAATGTATACATCTTGAATTTAAGACAAAAATAATAGTTTGTAAAACATCTACTCAGAAATACTCAAGTGGCATAATTTTAGTTTTACCTGCTTCAAATTCTCATGTTAAGCTATCAATTATTAATTTATTTCAATAAATTATCAGATTAGCTCTACACCGTATTGATGTTAGAAGTATATTTTAGCTGCTAAAAAATTATTAATTGTTGCTACAAATGATTAATCGTTCACTAAAGGAGTCCTGTGTTATTCCATTTTAGTCTGTAAAATGTTTAGTTTACTTAAAAAAGGAATTAAACTGTGATTATAAAAGATGTATTTGCATCTTTTATTGTGCATCTATTGTGTAACGATGGCTTCAATGGTTAAATTAAAAATCTGGAGAACATGCAAAAAAAAAAAAAAAAAGTTTTCCCATCCAATTAATCGATTAATCGTCAGAATAAAATAATCGACTACTAAAATAATCATTAGTTGGGGCCTGAAAACATGATGCTGGTCGTCATTGCCCAATAACTCCACTTTGGTCCCATCAGATGCAAACCTGAGCTGTTCTGTTGTTGTCTTTTTAACAAAAACAAAGGCAAATTTTAAAGAGGCAGACACACAGCCACTTTTCTTCTTACAACTTGTGGAAGCAGAATGGGATGGACTCGGGTTTTAATCTCTGTGTTAACCCAGTCACACAGAATCCACCACATTAGCAGTCAGCAGGACAGCGCCTCCTTCAGTCAGCTGTGTGTGTAGAAGCAAGAAAAACCAACTGAATCGCTGTGAGCTGACCTCTGGTTAACCTGTTCCTGTAGCTCGGCGTAAGCAGCGTGGCCCTTCACAATGTGGTCGACCTGCAGGGAGGAGAGGGATAACGGAGAAGCAGCTGATAACAAGAAGGCTCACAAGGACGTGAGAAACAGGCTAGCTGAGTAATGAATGAGTTACAACAGAAGTGGATGGGTTTTTTTCTAGTGAATGAGTGCAGGAAGTCAATAGATTGTGGTGTTTGCTTTTAGTTTTAGGTCGCTACTTTAGACTATATATCTGCACATCCTATGAAAAACAATGGACAATCGGAAAAATATTTAATTCTTTCAAAAGAAACATGAACATAATAATGGCTATAGTGTTATTTACCTCAAGGAAGGGGATTTGATTGAAGGTTAATGTTTGTTTTTTTTTTTAAACAAAAACAACAAGGCTTATAATACATTGGGAGGGAAACCCTGGATGTTATGGTTTAATCCATATCGCACAATCCTATTAGAAAGGGTCTGTTTTTCAGTTTCAAAATCAGGAACTCGTATTGCTTCAGTCTCCCCAGGATGGTTAAAACTGTATATGAATATGTCCACATGTGTGAAAAGGTGACTGTGGCAGGGCGTCTGACCAGCCTTCCTGTGGCACTCTGTCCTCCCTCGTTAAGCCACAGGTCTGGCACCATGGCGGACAGGTAGGGTCCCCACACTCCAGGCACAATCTTAGGCTGCTCACTGATCTGCTCAGAAATGACATACATGAGTGATTATGCAAAAAAAAAAAAACAGAAAAAGAAGTTAAAAAAACAAAGCAATTGATGAGAGAAAGTCATGCATCCCTCAAATCCACTGACCGCCATGTGACAAGTGGATGTCCCACAGATCATCGCCATGCGCGTCGTGATTGGCCAACCCTCGCAGGGTAAATCGAAGCCTTGCACATCAGCGCCTACAACACCTGGGAGGAGTAAGATGCCGTATCGGAGTCATTGAGATGGAAGATTTTTAAAAAAGGAGTACATTTCCGTTGAAAATTTTTTGAGAAAAAAACGTGGACATTTCTGAGTTCCAAAAGTCAAACATTTTCTAGGAAAAAAACCCCTCAAATTTTGAGATTGTTAGAAAATTGCTAGAAAAAAAACAATGAAATTTCTGAATTGGAAAAGTCAAAAATGTTCAACTTTTGCAACTCAGAAGTTTCCACGTTTTCTCTCCACTACTGAGAGGCAGCGAGCTCAAACTGAGGCAGAGGCAGCTGTAGAGGCACTAATGGTGTCAGCTGCCACGGCTCAGGAGTGGCAGCTTTCGACTTTCGTGGCAGGTGACATGGCTTCGGTGTCAAATTTAGTATTGAATATGAATATGTTCATTTTGAACAAATAAATAAAAATAATAATTTCTAAAAAACAAAACAAGAATAAAGAAACAACTCTGGAAAAATTTAAGAGACCACCACAAAACGATCATTTTCTCTGATTTTACTTTTTATAGGAATATGTTTGAGTAAAACGAACATTGTTCTTTTATTCTATGAACTACTGACATGTCTTTGAAATTCCAAGCAAAGATTTAGTGCTTATTTGCAGAAAATGAGAAATGGTCAAAATAATGACAAATACTTCTAATAATGCAAAGAAAACAGGTTCATGTTCATTTATAAACAAAAATACCAATGTTTTAACTCGGGGAGAGTTCAGAAATCAACATTTGGTGGAATAACTAGGAGGTTTTCAATGGGGTTCAGTGCAGTGAACCTCATTGAGGTGAGGGGATAATATACTCTACATGCAGAAGTGGAGCATTAAATCAGCTCCTCAGCCTTCACGTGGGATTCAGCGATGACACCGACTGCTCCAATAATGTTTGCAGAGCTGGTTTGTGTTTTATAGGAAGAGTCCTCGCCTGCGTGTATACTGGCAGGAACAACAAACTTCGGTTCGGAGCGATTCGACCCCTGACCGATGCAACAATATGCGGCTGGCAGAGGTCCCGACCGCGGGTCAAAGGGTAGGGTTCACGAGCGGGTGTAGCTCTCACAGCCAAACCAGATGGTTGGGATTCCAGGAGCTCCACAGGCGCTTCCCTCCTCCCGCCACGAAGGCGGTACGTTTTGCTTTTACTTGAGTAATTTAATGTAATATGAAGTATCTCTATCAATCTATCAATCAATCAATCAAATTTTATTTGTATAGCACATTTCAGTAGCAAGGCATTTCAAACGTAGACAGTGAGAAAGAGAAATAAAAAGAAATTAATAATACTGTTACCCGAGTAAAATTTCAGGATTTTCTCCCCGCTGAATGAAAAACGAACATGTTTTAACCAAAACCTCACCAGACACACAGACAGAAACACCTGCAGTTTTTGTTGAGGTTTCATAAGTTTTTGTTTTGTTTTACTGAAAGAAACTGATTTGGAAAAATCTTATTTTGCCTGATTTTGTTTGGTTTTTTTGTTACTTATTGGAATTATTGTCATCCTTGTCCCTTAAAATATCAACATTTCCACTTAACTTTATATAATATAGAAATATAGAAGACATGATGTTAATATTAAATGATTAATCATTTGATCAGTTACTCTGTACTTGAGTAGACTTTTTACCAAATACTTTTTACTCTCACTTGAGTCATTTCTTGGACGGCTACTTTTTTACTTTTATTTCAGTAAAAATATGTCGAGGTACTGCTACTCTTGAGTACAGGTTCTGGTACTCGAACCACCTGTTTCTGAATTTTTTTTTTTTTTTTTTGCGTTTTTATGATGTAACACACTTTGAACTGCCATGTTGCTGAAATGTTCTACATAAATAAACTTGATTGACTGATTCATAATGCATTGATTTCATTCTGTAGGACTTTTGAGGCTGCAAACCCATAAAAATGTCTTTAACTTAGTGAGGCTGTTGCTCCTGTCCCAACATACGCTCCTGTTTGCGTTCTCTTTGCGCTCGCTCTGCAGATACGTGACTCAGTAAAGGTAGTTTTCCACCTTCTGCCCCTGCAGGTCCTCTGTGCTTTTTGGCCAAACGGGTTCGGATAATAAACAAACACTGCACTCCACGCCTGCAGAAACCTGTCCTGGAAGTTTACAACGAGAAACAAGTATTTTTCCAGAATTGGATTCTTGCTTCGTGGAGGATGATGGGGATTTTTTGTAAGTTTTTTTTTTTTTTTTTTTTTTTTTTGAGACGCCTCAGTGAGCTGATACGGTTAAAATAAGTGGCTTCAGTTTGCACACGACTTTTGTTTCCTTTTTGTCTCCGCTGTGTGTGCTACCTAAGCCTCCGGCATGAGCATCAATGAGTGAAGCGCCGACTGCTGTTCCTGGGTTCAGACCCAGATCTGCTGCGGCCTGCGGGGTCAGGCCTCCTGCCAGAGGACTTCCTGGAGGACACGTCTCACTGCCTGGATGGAAAATCATTACAATGGTAGAAGACGACAATCAAAATGAAGCAAATACTTGTGAGACGGGTGAGATTTGTTTAAAGAAAAAAAAAAAAAAACATTTTTCTTGCCTATTTTGGAGAAATTATTTTCCAGAAGATCCTCCAGTCCAACGATGGTCCAAAAGCTGGAATCCCAGCCAGCGGAAGGACAGTATGTCCACTTACACACTAGAGTACATAAAGACCTGAGGGACAGCGGGGGAGAATAACACCAGATTACATCGCATATTGAGTGAATTTTAATATCTCTCCATTTATCTCCTGCTGAGGAACACAAGGTCCGAAACAATCTGACAACAAAAAAGACATAGATAACTTTTTAAATCTGTCCTGCTGCTCTGTTTTTACTCTGAGAAATTAGGTCGGTGTTCCCAAAACAAAAAACAAAACATGCAGTTTGGTATCTTAACACAGTAAGATTAAAAACAGGGCCTAGCGAAAGTATTAATTCTTCTTGAACTTTTGCATATTTTTGCTACATTATAACCATGATCCCCCCCCCCTGTGTATTTCAGTTTCACTGCAAAATCTTAAACTCTTACCATTTTGGTCTAGTTTTAAGTTCATAAGACAATTAACTTAGAAGTAGCTTTTCAGCAAGAAATAGCAGCTCGTTTAGAGTCAATAATTCCTCAACATTGATGAAAAAGTAATTGCTCTGCTGGCAAATTATTTCACTTTTGAGAAAAATGTCTTGTTATAAGTAAAATAACCCTATATTTTTCTGAACAGCTATCTTATTTCAAGTGCATCCAAGACATTTGCACTAAAAACTAGGCTAAAAATACTTAAGATTTTCTGCCAAAGGGTTACCGGAGGAACTGCAGACATACACAGGCTGGAGTTTAGTGGATAAATTAATTACTACTCAAGAACTCCACAAATCTGAACTTCTTCACGGAGCATCGAGATTAAAAGTAACGGTTGAAAGAAACGTTTGCCACCAGCCGTGTGGCGGACACAGCACGCTCTCTTCTCATGAGACCTGATCTGAACTTCCTGGCCTGTTTGTAAAATGCTAAGTGTGGCAATAAACTCACATAGTGAAGCATGGTACTGGCAGAATCATGCACTGGGCGTTACTTTTCTTCAGCAAGGGATTGAACTTGGAGTCGAATCTCGAAAGAAATAAGTAAATACTCAAAACCAATTGAAAATTTGTGGAAAGACTTTAAAGCCCTCGAAATATTTACATGTAGGTCAACGGGTCCATCAGGACACCTATGTCATCATGACAGTTAAGGGGTTAAATTAAACATAAGCTGTACAGATGTCAAAGAAGAACGGGCAGAAATGCCAGGTTGTTTTTTTCCCTTCCACTTTTCAATTACTTTGTGTTGATCTTTTCATGTAAAACCCCAGTAAAACAAAGCAAAACGTCTGAATGTAACGTGACAAAACGTGTAAAAAGTTGAAGAGGTTTGCGTACTTTTGTGTGTGAATATAAATCCCTCCTACCCACAAAAAAAGACCAAGCCGAGGGAGCTGACCTCGTTGTGGAGCCCGTAGCTTTCCAAGACAGGAAGTCCGGCAGGTCAAAGAAGTGAGCGGCTTTGTTCCAGCAGCTGTCCTTTAGATTCTGACAAAGAGGCAACGAGAATCTGTAGCTACTGATGGCTGACTCAAACTGTAGTTGAGCACACGTCAGGTAAACTTAACAGTGTCACCAAACAGATGGAAGCTGGTGGATTGTTCAAAAGTATATATGATAACCAGCTGGTTTAAAAGAAAAACAAAAAACACACACAGAGCGCAGAGGAAGAGGTGGTGACCTTCCTCACCTCTTTCAGCCAGAGGAGCTTCGGAGGTTGCATCTCCTGCGACATGACCCCTCCCACCCTGTTCAGGACCCTGTGTCCGGTGTTTGTTATCCGATCCGCCTGCTCCGCAGCGCGATGGTCCATCCACATCACCACGTTCTTCTGCGGGTCGCCTAAATAAGAAAAAAAAAATAAAAATCAGGAGAAAGCATCGGGTTTTAGAGACACTACATTTTGTTCATCTGAAATCAGCTAGGAGGGAAGAAACATGACTTTAGTTGGTGAATGCATTCAAGACAATCGCCAGGCTAAAGGTTGAAGATGACAGGAAGCTAACTAACGTGATGCTCACCATCCTGAGTGACTGGCACAGGCTGGAAGCTTTCATCCAAAACTACAAGAGAGCAGGTGGCATCAAAGCCGACGCCCCGGACCTGGTCGCTTTGCACCTCTTTGATCACTTCCTGCAATAAAACAGAGCCAAAACGGTACATAACCACACCACTGGCCACCGTATATCGGTAAAGTAAGGAACAAATGTGTGATCAAGTGTTGGATTGTCACAGAATGTTCCAACTTAAAATAATCTATTACACTTCTCAAAAAATTAGCAACTCTAAAGGATATTGAGATAATATTTTTGACCTCTTAACCAGGTGAATTGTAACTATAGAAGATGTACAGCTAGCTAACACAGTGTTTTACACCACATAATCCAAGATGCGTGTCTTCCATTTATACACCTGTTGTCGTCTCATAATAGAGATGTTAAAATGTAAAAACTAGCTTAAATCGCTAATAAATACGCTCTGAACAAATAAGCTGTAGCCAAACTGCTTTGACAAAAATAACTGATAGCCTAATTTACTCATTTTAGCTAGCTAAACTGCTAGCTAAAATGAGTAAACGTTAGATTAAATCACACAAAAAAGCTACATGTGAAAAAATTTTAATACAGGAAATTTGGTAAGACACAACCTAATCATGAGCAGTAAAATAAGACAATGAACAAATGAGGGAAACAGCAAAATGTAAAGAAAGATGGCTAAGCAGACAGATTAAGTAAGGCAAATGGTGTTAGCTAAAAAAAACAACACAGCAGTGGGAATGCTTTCTAAATACAGATAGATTTCAGTTGATTTCTTGGCTTTCTTTGCCTTTTTCTACTTATTCTCATTCCATTCCATTAAACACATGCTGAGAGTCCTGTGTTTTCTGAAACCTAAATACAACATTTAGGTTTGAAATAAAAAAAAGAAATAACACTTCAAATACAAAAATGTGGACTTAATGAAACATATGCGTAGTATCTGCTAAAAGATTGTTTTTCAAAAGTACTTTTAATCTGACAAACGAGCCTCATTGTAATTGATTAAATTGGACTGTACAGCCTTATCCTGACTGATACCTTACAACAATGTGTAAAGTTTTAATCTTTGTAACCTCTGCAAATTATGATAACAGGTGTGAGCTGGAGGTACATATTTATATTTCAGTTGTACAGGATGTATGTCACGTTAAAGATGAAAAAAGGTTTTGAAATAACTTACTTTTATAATGCTACGTACGCCTATGGGATCTGAACAGTTTGATGAAGCGATTATCAAAGAACTCATTTACAATCGAGTCCTTTGGTACCAATTGCATTTTTTATTTACCATCTCTTGCACCGAGATCTTCCTACCTTGACCACTGAGCAGCATTTCTGCCATATCTCTGTGGAGGACTGGACGTAGTGCTCCGGCTGGGGCTTCCAGATGGTGATGGGTTCCTCTGCGGTGGTCTTCAGGAGCCCCTCTCTTGTCACCAGGGCAGCCCTCACACTGGCAGTACCCACATCAACCCCAACATAATAGACTTCCGCCATGAGGAGTTGCCGCTGAGGATCCTCCGGTCAAGAATCAACCTGGGCGCACTGTTGAAGAATAAATAAAATGTTGACACCAGAGTGAGTGAATGACTCATCTCATTATTATCCTTCTTTCAATTCCTTTATTCATTCATGAATACAGAAAGACTAAAACTATATCTCGCAGCCTTATACGTGACTTGTGTCCTCAGTTTTAATAACGGCTGCAGATTTACACCAATCAAAAGCGCAGATTGTATTTTGAATACCACGTGCATTAAAAAAAAAAAAAAAAAAAAAGGCATTGGCTATAAAATTCAAAAACACAGGGTGTTTACTCTAAAATCTTATTTCACGGTAGAGAGAGCGAGAAAACAGCGTTCAATCACGTACAAGTTTCTTACCATGAACTTTGATATGTACAGGACGGTGGGATAAGACGGAACGCGAAAGCGGCCAAAAAGGATAACAGTCGCATTTTTCTTGCCGAAGCAAAACAAACTCTGGAGACCCTAGCCACGCTGTTAGGATTAGAAAGACTATAACATGGTAATAAAACACTTTAATTCTAATGATAGGTTACCTAAAAAAATTACATTGGAGAAATAAGTTATTTACTTATGTATCATATTTTACAAATATCGGGGTCCCTTGAATATCATTGGGGCGCCTTTAACAAAATTTCGAACTGATTAAAACTTCAGCTCTACAAAACACATGTTGAGCTTTGTGTATAAAGCTACGACCATTACATTTTGGAAGCACACAGTTCAGAAGCCTGGGCTTTTTCAGACAGTCGAGGCCAAGATTCAAAATAATCACTTACCTTATGATAATGTGGTCCAAACCACGACACAGATTCAACAAAACAAGAATGAAAACTAAATATTCAGTGAAATACGGAAATACGGTTTATTTTCAGCAGGTTTTTAAAACGAATATCTTCAAATTCTGCTTCAGCTTACCCTCTTGTAATAGCTTTAAACTTGTCTCTGAGTATTGATTGTTCAGGTTTCATGACGTTCTTTCAAAGTTTTCCTTAGATTTGCCAAATGTTTGACAGATATAATTTTACAGAGTACATCACTACTCTCTGTGAGACAATCGCCATGGGATAGTGTGATATTGAAAATAATGCAGCACAGTGGTAATGTTAACTATTACTTCTTTATTGATTTGATTTTGACACCCAGACTGAAGTAAAAACAAAATAAACATCAAGTTTGTTGTTTAGTAATGACTATGTAAGAAAATCTTACTGAATCCAATTCTTGTTTTAAATAAAAAAACAAAAACAAAAAACGTTGGAGTTGTTGTGTTTTAATAAAAAATAATAATAAAAAAAATAGTTTAAATAACTCACTGAAAGCTTCAAATGAATTTATTCACTTTGAAAGTCTGACCAGAACTGTATGCCACCGGCTTGGTAAAATAATTGACAATGTTGATTGAGAATCATGTCAAAGCAAATATCTGTAAATATTGGTGATTATTTGTTACACTGTAATGCATGAGGACCGTGAATTTCTGTTTTCTCACGTACACACGCAAAAACAAATGCAATTTTCTCAAATCTCCACTGCGGTCTGTGTTTTTCTAAATAACCGTTTAGTGGTATTAAAGTGTTTGTGCGGATGAAAGATCAAAACATATGAAAGTGTACTACTGACTCACCCAGAATTACAAAAACACAACCTCACTCGGTTCAGCTGATTTATTCACAAGGAAACAACTTTGCAAAAAAACGATTGTTGGAAAGGACAGAAACATAGTCAGTTAAAACTACTCAACTTCATCTTTCTTCCCACTCTGCTGTTGTGTTCTTTGGTTGAAGCAGCTGTTTAAAGGGAGCGGCGTGGGCTGAGAGCTGTGTGTTTGGGCCATTAATGGTCAGCAGACGTGGAGGGACAGAGGAAAACCGAAGCAGCGGGACAGGAAGAAACAGCTGCTCTTCAACAAACACAGCACAGACAGTGTTTGAAATCTCATCTGTCTCTCTCTCGGAGCCTCGATTTGGATCTCCTCTCGAGTCCACGCGTGAAGGTAAGCAAAACTTTGCTCTGTTAATACACCCAACACACGCACCATAACCTCTCTCTCTCTCTCTGTGTGTGTGTGTTTTGCTCGGGTGGAGGAATCTCGGACCGTTCCGCCACTGCCGGGAGGCCGATGGCTTTCAGCTTCCGACTGGAAAACTGTGTGCGGAGGAAACAGCTGGCCTTGGCAGAGAGAGATGGGACAGGGGGGGGAAACGCTATTCTCTAAAGGTGACCCCGCTGGGCCAGCTGGAGGGAAAAAGACAACAGAGAAACAGGAAGCATGGCCGTAGCATTGTTGTACTTAGATGGGAAATGACTATTCTGTGGACCTGACACAGGCGCACAGAGACAAATTCAGATACAGTGTATGTCTTAGAAATCTCTAACCTGTGAAGAAAGAGATAAGAGTCTGAGTAGGACGAATGCAGAGGCAGATGTGTTTGCTACGACATAGGAGGCAAAAGAAGTTTATGAGAAAACAACCACTGGAGTCCTTAAAGCTGCAGAGTGGAACTTTTACAAAAATGTGTTGTTTTGTTTCCTATTTATTAAAACTGTCACCATGTCATGGCAGTTTGGTATGAGACAGATAATATGTCATGAAGTAAAACAAACATCCATCTTCTCTCGGTGCCACTACAGTAATCTACAGAAACCCACCGCTCCCAGTCAGACAACCAATCAGAGTCATGAAGGAGAGTCTTAGCACTGCCAATCAACCTCCTGTACGCTGCTCAATGTGCCAACGGTGGAAAAACAAGTTACCGTTACGGGAAAACTGTTTATCCGCCGTAATCTGTGGCTATGCTAACTACCTTCAGCTTTCGTGGCAGGCTATGTTGTCGTGAACCAGCTTTAGCTTAGCAGAGAGCACAAGTGTGATGGACAGCGCTAAGACCCTCCCTCCTGGCTCTGATTGGTTGTTTCTGACTGAGTGGTGAATTTCAGCAATTATTTATTTTTTTGGGGGGTTTTTTCTACAGATTATTTGTCTTATATATTATATTGTAACAACATAACCATAATTCTAACAAACACACTGCAACTTTAAGGTTTTGAACTACTTATATACAACAGGCTTTGCGACAACACTAGCAGTGTTGACTTGAGGCACCTCTGGTTCTCCCAGTTTAACTTAACTGGGGCTTGTTGACTTATTTAGTTGGCCAGAGAAGAACATGTTGAATAATAGAGTGAGGGAACCCAGCCGGACTGGACTGCAGCTACACACAGGCTTCAGGCAGCAGTGCAGATTCAGTGATACCAGAAGGCCTTGCATGTGGGAGTCACAAAAACTGGCCTGTATCACATTTTTTAACAGTCAGAATACCTCGGGTATATGGGCGAACTCTGCATTGTCCTAAGCATCAAGGCCATTGGTTGTTTGCAAAACATACACAATACTATCAGAACTTCCTCTACGTAGAATACACACAGCATCCATACACCTGCGCTTGCCAAACATTGACTGGATTAGAATTCATTAGAACTAAAAAAAAAAAATTAAAATTAAATTCAGTATGAACTGACTGAACTTGTTTTTTGTTTTTTTTGTAAAGTGCGATAAAATCAAATTTGTTGTGAATTAACCCTATAAAAATGTATTACAGCTGAGTGTTCTACAATATTTTGTGGAAATCCATAAATAAAAACCTATGTAAGATTTTCATCTATTTTATATAAGCAGACTAAACAAAGATGATTGTTTCTGCGAAATCATAAGTTGTAAATATTTTTTTTAAAGGAAAACCAGTTTACATCAATACGCTCAAATTTTGTCTTTGTTGTTGTTGTTGAGACGGCTAAACATGATTTACTGACTGGACAAGAAAAGTGTGTGGGATTTTCTGTTACTTTGCTCGGCAGAGCGTAACTGTGTTTCATCATGTAGTAGACATGATTGGGCAAAGATTACATATGAGGTTCCTCAAGGCTCCATCCCGGTGCTACTTTTATTCAAAATCTATTTTTTTCATTAATGCAACTTCACTGGTTCAAAACCTTTTTTTGTTTTTGTAAATTGTGAGAAAAGTAATTCACATTCCCTAGTAGTCGGTCAGCTCAATTATTGGACTTTGTGTGATGTCATCAACCCAAATACTAAAAAAATAAATTAATAGAAAACATACCTTATGAAATCCCTCAGTGGAAATCTACACTTTATCCGTCAGCTGTACTTTTACTGTCTGTCTACAATTTGTTAATAGAAGAAATAAGATTTAATGAAGACAGTAGTGACTTATTTTCCAGTAAGTTGTGTTGTTTCCACAAATGTCTAAACTTATATGAAAAAGGAAATTATGTCTCATCCAAAATGTTGTTACCAAAGTTCTGAGCGGTATTAGGAAATTACACATCCCACAGCAGTCTTTACATTGTGACACGTTTTCTCTTTCTCAGAAAGAGAGATTTTGAAAATCTTCTAATATCACTAAATGAACCAAATTTATTTCAGTTGTTTGCTAGCTAAAAACCACCTGGACCTCTATGGTCAGCAGGGACCTCTTTCCATGGATTCCCAGAACCAGAACTAATAAGCGGGAGGCAGCATCTAGTTTCTGAGCTCCTCAGCTGTGTTGGCTCCTTTAAATCAGGACTGGAAACACAGTTTACATCAGCTTTTCAGCAAAGGCAAACACTAATCTATTTTTTTATCAGCCTCTACTCTCTACTCATTTACTTTTATTTCCATTTTACAGCTTCTTTTTATGCAAAACCTAAACTATGATACACTTATTCTTAAGCACGCACTGGCTTTTGAATGTACTTTTCATGCAAAGCACTTCAAAGTGTCTTCGTGTAGGACTTGGGATAATATTTCCATCTGCGGGTTTGACACAAACTGCAGAACTATGACTGTAAGAGCGTCTTCCCTAGAACAAAAGCACTCTTGATCTAGGTCAGGCTCATCATCTGTAGTTTATGTTTAAACATACTTTCACGTCCGAGCAGCGCTCACTTCCTGAACCGCTTTATCTTTCTATTCCTGACCGTCACTCCCGAGACTTTTGCGCTTTGATACTTAAATTTGCTCCCCTAAAACCTGAGTCGTGGCGTCCATAATCGTATAAAAAGTGTCGTGATCGGGATGGATAAATAGAAATTAAGCGGGTAACTAAATATTCAAAAACACTACGTAATCCCAGAGTACATTGCTGCTGCGCCTTGCATTACCTAATCCCATAAACCCTAGCGAGGAGAGGCGGGGACAGGGCCGGTTGTCGGAGCAACACACATGTCATTAGACGATCCCCGCCCGCTTTCTCGTCTCCAGCCAATCACAGGGCGTAGAAATGACATCATTGTTATTTTCAGTGGGACTGCAGCTTAGAGGTGGATAAAGTTCGTCTCCACGTTGGAAGTGATTGAAAGTATTACCCGTTTTCGGAGTGTTGTTTTTTTTTTAGTTATTAGAACGGGAGGACAATCCAAAACAGGAGGTTTGACGGGGGGTAGACGCACAGAAGCTCGGCGGCGGAAGAAACGTTTTTATTTGTCGATGACCGCACGGTTCACAAAGGAAAACTTTTCTCGGGACGCAAAGTTGTCAAGTGAGTTGAACTCCCAACAATAGGCAGCATCTGCCTCGGGACAGTAGACAGATCGTCACAGAATATACCGTAAAAACAGCAGAAATCGGACTCTTTGTTCAAACTCTACTATTTGGACGGGATTTAGAAGAAAAGTTTATGTCTAGAAAAATCCGTAAAATGGAAGCGACGTTCTACGACGAAGCTGTAAATGCCTCCAACTCCCAGCATGACGGGGCGGCTGTGTACGGGTTCAACCCTAAGACACTGAAACAAACCATGACCCTGAACCTGAACGACCCGAAAAACTTCAAGCCCCAGCTGGGGGCGAAGGCCCTGGACATTCTCACTTCGCCCGACGTCGGTTTACTGAAGCTGGCGTCGCCTGAGTTGGAGAGACTGATCATCCAGTCCTGCAGCGGGCTGACGACCCCCACCCCGACCCAGTTCATCTGCCCCAAGAACGTCAGCGACGAGCAGGAGGGCTTCGCCGAAGGGTTCGTGAGGGCCCTGGCTGAGCTCCACTACCAGCAGATCCCCGCCGCCCACCCTGACGCTCAGACCGGCGGGACTAGCGGGGTGGCACCCGGCGCGGCTCCGTGCGAAGGCGGCGGGATTCCCTACAGCTGTACGGTGCGCACGGAGCCGCCCGAATACACCAACCTGGCCGGTTTTAGCCGAACCGTGGGCTCCGCGTCCGCACCTGTCGCGGAGAGGCACCCGCCGACAAGTTATCCGGGAGCCCCGCAGCCGCCACACAACCACACGGACCACCAACTGGCGGCGGCGGCGCAACAGCAGCAGCACCCGCGGTTGCAGGCGCTCAAGGAGGAGCCGCAAACGGTGCCCGAGATGTCCGGCGAGACGCCTCCGCTCTCCCCGATCGACATGGAGACCCAGGAGCGCATCAAGGCGGAGAGGAAGCGCATGAGGAACAGAGTGGCCGCGTCCAAGTGCCGAAAAAGGAAGTTGGAGAGGATCTCCCGACTGGAGGAGAGGGTCAAGAACCTGAAAACCCAGAACACGGAGCTGGTTTCCTCCGCCAATGTCCTTCGAGACGAGCTGGCTCTGCTCAAGCAGAAGGTCATGGACCACGTCAACAGCGGCTGTCAGCTCATCCTGACGCAGCAGCTCCAAGCCTACTAGGCTTCGGAGACTGACGGAGCCAACAAGGGACCAAATGCAACTTCAGATGGCTGCTTGAGATCTTCCATCAACTTTTTTCCCCCACTCCCGACAGCACATGGACACGAACTGTTTTTGGCTTGGTCGGTGTAAAAGGAAGCCAACAACTGTTGTGCTGCAGACACACGCACACAGCTGAGTGAAACTTTTGCTCCTATAGTCTGCCCACTTTTGAATTTCACTACATTTTTTTTTTATTTCTACAAGAACTTGTAGGTCACGCGTGGAAAATATGCACCTCATTACAGGAACTGAGGTGGCGTGGGATAAAGCTGCACACGGCGAAACACAATGACAGCTCGAGTTTAGCTCTGGAGCTCGCGCACCATTTAAAGAAAGAAAAAAAAACACTAACAGCTTTCACACCTTCCAGACGGTTTTTATTATCATTATCTTCTAGGTGTGTGTAGCTTACTGACAGCTGCCTTACTTTCAGAACACTCTTGTTCATACGACTTTTTAATACGTGTGTAACTTGTTAGCCCTAAAAAAAATAACTCTTTGTAATATTTGTACGCTGCATTTTTGAGCACTTAAATGTAAATAAGGCTAAATGAATAAAAGAAAAGTTCAACATATATGCTAGCATTTTTGTCTAATTTATAAGGAACGAGAAGCAAGCGGCTTTTGTTATTCCAGACTCGGGAACAGACGGGACCTTGAGTCATTCTGTGGCGTGTCAAGCGCGAGCGCTCATTGGATAGAGCCCGGCTTCCGGAAGTAAGCCGCAGGGAGCCCAAATATGGGAAGATGACTCGGAGGGCGCACCGGGAAGGCTGCGCGTGGCTGAATCACTGGCCTCCCCCGCCCCTCTCCCCACTCTGCTGCTGGTGACTCCTACAAGTAACCACTGAAGCAAATTCAGCTCTGTTTACACACTTAAGTGCGTAGTAAAAACGCAATGTATAATTTAGCTTAAACAAAATGACTTTTATTTATAACTATGTGAAATATATATATAAAAAATAGCACAAAAAAAAGTATGAACACATGTACAATGTAAAAACACTGAGGATCACCAACACTGCCACTAGAAACTAGTAAATATTATGAGACATTCTGGATATTATGTTTCAAGAGGAGTTCAATGCACACTGTAAACTTCAGCTGTTCTCCAGAGCAGATTCCAACATTTACTCTGAACATCGCAGATGTTGAAAATATTTAAGCATTTTCTGATATACAGTACTTTACTGAAGTATTTTTTTAAACCAATTTAACAATTTTCACATCAACATTGCAACCTAAAATCTTATAGTACTTTGCTAGAAAGTTCTGTGATTTAATCCTAATTTGTCAACGGAAGACCTTCTATTTTACAACTAAAAATCTGAGAAGTATGGTGCATAGCTTTCTGCTGCAGCTAAACCTGCGGAGGTATAATGGTGCCAACATGTTTCATCTGTTTAAGGTGAGATTAAATTATTTGTAAAGGTGGGGGGGAAAGTATTTGCCACACTTCACAATTATGTGTAACTATGTGCTAACAAAAAAATGTTACTTAAATTAATAAAGTAAAACAGGGGGGAAAAATGGAACTTTGTGCTATTTAGGAAGAAGTAATAAGAATAGTACACAACCAAAGCTGGAGGTATAGCTGACAAATTGAATCTGTTTTCAAGATTTTTGTTTTGTATTTTTATCTAATTTCTGATAATTAACGTTCCTTGCAGGTTTGTAAAGTTGATGGACATCGTTTGGACATGCAGGATGTGACCTGTTATCCCTTAAAGCAGCAGGTTAGATTTGAAGAAGTTCCCGCATGAAATCCACGAAAAGCATAATAGTATTTTTGGACTAATTTCTGGTGCAAATATCTTAGTACACTTGAAATAAGACAAAACTACAATATTTCCACTAAAAACTAGACCAAAAACACTTGAACTTGACTCTTGTGTTTCATTTGCTCCTATAGTTTAAAACAGATTAAATTATAGCTATTATAACCAATTGATTCCTATTGTGCAGTCAACAAGTAATTAAAGTTGGACAGGTAAAGTTTTTACGTCATACAGACGACAGCAGTGTTCCAGCTTCCTGGTTTTCCTCTTGCTCCATCTTCTGTAAGCCACAGGTATTATCCAAGTCTTTCACTTCCTGGAAAACACTTTTTCCCCCCATGTGGCTGTTGTGGAGATGGGACTGATTTCCAGAGACGGGCTCAGTCCTACAGTTTGGTGAGAAGAGAGTCAGCCTCTCAGCTGACCAGCATGCCCTCCTTACCGGCCAGTCTCTGCCTGTGTATGCGGTCCTGCTCCAGTTCCTCGTGGCTGGGGTGCCAGAGCTGGACCAGGATGCGCTCCATGTTGAGGGCGTACATGGTGTGGGAGGGCATCACGCCGCGATGAACCTGCGCCACACAGATGTTACACGAAGCGTTAAAAATCTGAAAGCATGCTAAAACAGCCTTTCCTCATCACTCTAGGAAACTTTAGGTTTACTCTGTCAGTGTGAGAAGACGGAGCAAAGGGGATTGATGATAATCAGTTCAGAAAACTTCATACTGGCAGTGGCTGAGGTCAGGCCACTATAGTCCAACTGTGTTTTGTGTTAAAATTATTAAAAGTATACAGGAAATTAAAACTATGACTTGGTAATTATAAGTTATTGGAAGACATTTTTTTTAAACTTCATGTAAATCCCAATTAAGCAATTAGCTATTGTCTTAGTCTTGAAAAAAGTTGTTTTAATGCTGATTACATTCAGAGTCGACCCAAAAAATAAGCAAACTAAGCAGCTGCTTCGCACCCCCCCTGCCCCCTCGAGCCCAAATTATATTCTACTCAAGGCCCCATCCTATCTTGAGCCGGCCCTGGCTATTTTTAAAAGTAAAGACAGATAAAAGAAACACTTTCAGCTCATATATGCAGACGCATTTTTGCTGATCTTCGTACCTTTAGCGCTTCCAGGAGGTCAAACATGCTGATTGGAGGAAGCGGTGCAGGTAGCATGTCAGAGGAGCAAGCAAGCAAGTGGATGGCTTTCTGCTCGGCATCGTCGGGGGACACCTGAGGCGGCGGGCAGGCAGCAAGAGACGCGCTTGGAGGAGGACTTAAAAAAAAAAAAAAGCAAAGGAAAACACACAAAAATAACTAATAAAAGCAGTTGGTTCTGTATCATCATTAGGCAGTGGTGTCAAGAGCTGTTTTTTTTTGTTTTTGTTTTTTTTTACATATTTTTATCAATCAAATCAGAGCAGTTTTAATCTATACTCTGCTAAATTACATCAACGTGGAAAAAGATTCCACATCACAACAGATAGAAATTAGCGTTTTTGGCTAAATCTGGTGCATTTATAGAAATATCAATTAATGTGCGTTGTCCCTAGGAACATACATCTGATCTTCATGTAGCCCAAAACCAAAAAAATGAGTATGACGCCCCTGAGTTAACTAGAAAACGTTGACGCTCTCTACCATTCGCTGATGCCGTGGTACGCAGACAGGCTGTTCTTCAGATAAGGCCGAGGCGTGACGTCGGTGCCGAAGGCGTAGGGGAAGTGTCCGTCACGTAGCCGGTACGCCTTCCTCCGAGTGATCACGGCGGTCAGGACGTCTTTCAAGTGGTGCTGAAATGAGAGTTCGGCGTCAACGCATGAGCAGGAGGAAAACGGTCTCCGTTCGATGATTTACGCCAAGCAAGTTGAAGAAACAGGATGCGACATTAGTAAAAGAAGTCCGATGTTTTGTGGTAAATGTATTTCTAAAGGTGCTAGTGACGTGAAATTTTCAGCAGGTGTTGGTAAATACCCAAGCAATCCGTACACAGAAAGAAACCCAAACAAATAAGTTCAGAATTGAAGTTATGTGTAACAGTGCGACATGAGACTTAAGATTATCTTATTCAATACTAGAAATACGTAAAACAACAACAGCCAACAGAATTCCTTTTTTTTAGATAAGGAAAATATTTTATGGCCCAAAATTCATCAACCGCATTTGTAGCAAAGCGTTCATCCACAACTGAAAAATCCTTCTAATGTCGACACGTGAGCCCGTTCTGCTCGACTTCACATCACTTATGGAGCTAATGTGTTGATTGCTTTTGGATTGATTGATTGATTCTTATATAACAAAGGAAGATTTTTACAGGTTTTGAACCAGGTGAAGATAAAACTGAGGAATTCTGGGTAGAACATATTTACAGACAGGGTTTTTTTCTTTATCTTAAATGCTAAATGTTGATATTTTTGGTAGTTTTGGCTTAAATATGGCTGTGAATATGTTGTTCTTTTAGCAGATGACATTTTTCGAGTCTTAACGCTGGTTGACGATTAATCCGTTACTAAATTAGTTGACAATTACCTGAATACTCTGTTATTTTACACTATTACACATTACTTTAATTTCTTTTGTTTGTTTGTTTCCTTCTCTTTAGGGACTGCCAACACTTCAGTGAAAATTTGACATCAAAACCACCTTCAGAAACACGTCTACATGTAATATGACAAATTCTGCCCGATGCTTATTTTCCCCGCCGTATGTGATGGAGAAAGTCGTTATCATACGATGTTTGTCAGCAGGCGTATGGATGACGAAGGCCCACCTCTACAGCGCAGACCACGGTGCTGATGGCGTCTTCTGTGACGTTGTCCAGCCCCATCTCGAAGGCGGTGACCATCATGCGGGCCTCCAGCTGGCCCCGGGTCGGCAGCAGCAGCGTGTGGGCGCTCAGCCGCAGCTCCTCCTCCTCGCCGCCCGCCTCCCGCGGACTGAACGGCTGCGCGCCGAACAGAGGGTTCTGTGGCTGGAAGCGGTGCTGCGGGGCACCCAACGCAACATCGCAACGAGACGGTGAGTCAACTACTAAGCGTGCAGTGAATCATTCATCACCTGTCCCAGACGTTAAAAACAACCGCTCACGATACAAACAACTGACTTATCTGAACTGTGACATCCTCTGAAGTGAATTTGGAAAAAAAAAATAAGAAGAAGAATGAGGATTTACGTCAAATTTCTGCCTGGAGGAACACTTCTTCTTTCCTTTTGACTTGTCAGACTTTGAGGTGCAGCTTTGCCACTGCATGGAACCGGGGCCCTCTAGAGCACAGAGAAGGAAACACAAGAAGCATTAATAACTAATGGAGAGTAGGCAAGCGAGAGAATACGCTCTTAAAACGGGTTATGACTCATGAACAAAGCAATGGAAAGAGCCTTGTAGTGGCGTCACACAAGTCATGACACACATCTGCAGTCTGAACTGAACTTGGATGTTAGTTTATTATCTGCAACAAACTAAAAGTCCCGTACGAAAAAATAAGTATACCTGGCACGCGCATACATTTTCACAAAATGTTAGAGATATTTGGTTTTCAGGTGAAATCCATGGAAAACAGAAAAAGTTCACAGGCCAGGGACATTACAGAATACAAAAAGAGAATTAAAGTAGAAGCGTACACTTGTGTTTTTCCAAAGTCAAACAATACGTCAAGCAAACAAAGGTTGTGGGTATGCCACAACAAAAAATCTCCAGTGTCTTCACGGCGTCCATAACGTGTCATGAGCTCTTGGTCGTGACGACGACGTCTCACGTTGTTCACAAGTCGACTCAGGCTACGTTCAGACAGCTGCTCTTAAT